CTCTGCACCACGTTGCACTGCGCTGCTCTGCGCGCTCCCACCGCGCAGCGGCGCCGCCGCCCCGGCCGGGCTCCGCTCGCTCCGCTCGGCTCCGCTGCAGCCGCAGCTTCTCCCGCAGCCACAGCCCAATGCAGGCCGGGGCCGCGCGGACAGGGAGCACGTGTGATGCAGGATGGTTGTGCCCCGCGGAGCCCACGGATAACGGGGGCAGAGAATTTCCCCCTTCTCTAGTTATTTGTACGTGCATTTGTGCCTCTGCCTCTGCTTGTCTTGCACACCGAGGCAAAGCTGCTTCTCTCACCCAAACTTTCCTCAAGTTCAAACCCTGCTGAGTTTAATGGCAAATTCATCAGAAAAAAAAGACAAAAAAAGAAAAAAAAAAGGAAAAAGGAAAAAATAAAGCGAAAACAAGGACTAGTAATAAGCACTGCTCATGCACTGGACTCAGTAAATGCAAATGGATAATATCTGCTGCTTGCAACTCCCCAAGAGAAGTAAGAACCAAAACAGCTCTGAATTAACATTTCTCTATCTGCCAGTAATTGAAAACCAGCACTAAAACACAACCCATAAGGAATACCTAGGTCACAGATACACTCCTCAATTTTAATGTTACTGAAAACCCTTCAGAACTGTAACACTAAATGCTTTACAGCACTACTGTTTTGGTATATCAAAATCTATATAATTACTGTATGTAAAAATATTTCTGCAACAGCCTTTCGAGAAATACGGAACGAGCTTCATTAATTATTGGGGAAAGGCAGGATTCTGCTGGAGCCACATTAATTTCATCAAACATTTCATTATAATAATTAACTTCATCTTGCAATCATGCTACTGAAGGTCTGAATTAATTAAAATGACTGCTGTGTTTCCTTTCTATTTGTTGTGCCCTGGAAAAGATCAGATTACTGAATCCATCAGAACATTTACATTTATAAATCATGTATGTCATTCTTTATATAAAAATCCCAAACGTTATCTTTTCTTATCTCTCACAACAAAAGAGCCCCCTTTAATTATTAAAGGGGGAGTTATTTTTATTTAAACACAGCACAGTTAGCAACGTAACTGGGCTGCAGTAGAACTCACAGAGGACTGAGTGCCACATTTCTGGATTTTTAAGAAAATGATGACATCCTAGATAGGAGGGTAAAGGAAAAGGGAACTAAAACCCAGGAATTTCTTTTCTCCTTTTTGGGCTGCTCTGCAGCCCAGCTCTGGGATTTCTACGGACACAAATTCATTGCAAGTGGCAGCGAGCTCCAGCTCCCGCGTTTTGCAGCCTGTGCATTTGGAGCAAGCACGGAAGAGCCCGGGAATGCAGAGCCCGGGAATGCAGAGCCCAGGAACGTGGAGCCCGGGAATGCAGAGCCCSGGAATGCGGAGCCCGGGAATGCGGAGCCCAGGAACGCAGAGCCCGAGAATGTGGAGCCCGGGAATGCAGAGCCCGGGAAYGAGGAGAAGCAACGCGGCCGCCCGCGGGGCCAAGGCTGCTGAGAGCAGAGCACAAAGCAAACGGAGCCACTGTCTGGGCTGAGGAAAAGTGTCCTCGGGATGCATGGACACATGGAAACCGCGCGGCAAGTGCCTGGACTGGGCCGGCACCAAGGCAAAAGCTGCAGCTGGAACACTGGGGCAGAGACTGGGAACTGCCTCCTTCCTGGTGGAGTCAGCGCACGAATCCAAACACTGCTATTGGTGAGGAAGAGGATGGTGCCCCGGGAAGGAGCATCCAGGCAAGCTAGGGAGGCTCGGGACACGGCCAAGAGCGCAGCCAGAGGCGCCTCCTGGCCGGCCTCCCTGCCCCGCGCGGGGCTTTGCGSCGCAGCCCCGGCACGGGGCAAAGCCCTGCCGCGCTCCTGCGCCACGTGCAGGCACTAAACAGCGTTTCAGAACGGGACTGGCGTGTTTACAAAATGGACCCGTGTTCCGGCGCAACTGAGCCCTTCTCGGCTCACACGCGTCGGCTTCAGATTCGCTCTGCCTTGCAGGTCAGCGATGAATTTTTTGCATGCTTTTGTTAGAAATACACTTTTCCCTCCGCTCGTTCCTTTGTTTATGCAGATATGCCCCCTGCTTGCGGGCCGGTAGTGACATTAAGGCTCATTAAAGCTGGGCTGAACTAGGAACTCGGCTTCGAACTGTGCTCAATTTGAGGTCTGTGAAACTCCCAACTTGTATTGCTCATCTTGAACCCATTTTTGGTTTCAAGCTTCAAAGAACTTCACAAACATTAGCTAATTAATCCTCGCAGTACCCTATCATCTGCACAGAGGGGAAAGTTTACCACATCTTTTGGGCTAACATTATCATAATCCTATTAATTCCACGTAATACCTCTCCCACACACCCACATCTGCACACGGGCATTTCTATAAAATGCCTATTCAGGTTTTATTGCTTTTTCTCAGCAGCCTCCCAAACCACCCCCAGCCTCAGGCCTCTCTTAAATGCAGACAAAACCTGAGCTTGCAGCTTGAGATCAGGCTGCCCATCCAGCACCAACAACTCACAGCACCAACTTCCTTCAGTTTTGGTGGCACCAGAACACGGACACAAGTTTCTCCTTTTGGCCTTAACAAATACAGTCTGTGTTTCACAACACCCCCATCACAGGAGGAGTCAAGGCTAGCAGGTCCCAAGAGCCTGGACACTTAGGAAAAGCCACCCTCTCTTGGGAAAACCATCCTATCCACCCCAGCAGCAGAGCTGCCCAAAGGATGTCCCCCTCGGCCACTTCCATTYGGTGCCACTACGATACAGACCCAGCTGAACTGCAGCATAACTCTACCTAGCATAACTCTAGGCTGGGACTTATTACCCTCCACTGCGGTTTGCAGAACGACTCCARTATTCCAGTGCTGGTAATTAGACCGTTTGTGCCGTGAGGAGGAGGCGCAGYGCGCGCCGGCCTTGGGCTGCACACGCCAAGCCCAGGGCCCTGCTGCCAGCGCCGCATCCCGGCACTGCATCCCGGCGCTGCATCCCGGTGMCGCATCCTGCTGCCGCATCCCGGCGCCTCCTGGGCCCTTCCTAGCCAGCTCTGCTGGCCCAGCAGCGAGCTGCAGCACGGCCGGGGCTGTGTCCCTCGCTCGCCGTGTCCCCAGGGGACGGTCTGCGCTGGGTGCTGGGCAGCTCCACCTGTCTACACCAGCTTCACTAGTGCTCAGAGGGCCTTGTTGTGCTGGCAAAGGGCCTTACTGTGCTGGCAAAGATTGAGGGCCTTCACGGGAAGCTTTGCCACAAGCGGGGAGCCAGCGCTTTGCAAACACACAGTTTGCTGCACGTTCATACCCCGTTCGCTCCTCCTCGGGCAGCAGCCCACAGAACCAGCCGCAGCCCTCGGCGGCCAAGCGAAGCCTGAACCAACTCTCTGCAACAAGAGAGTTCAAGCAGCAGCAAGTAGAGAACGGCTCTCTAGTGCCCATGCTGCCTCCCTGCAATTTTCCCTGGGATGCTGCAGCTTCTCTCCCAGTCGCCCTCCCTCGTTGCCCTCGGAGGGTGCGGCGGGCCCGGCAGGCTGGTGCCGGCCCGCCTCGTTACCTGGTCRTTAACGTGGCACACGGCGAGGTTCTGCTCATCGCAGGAGCAGGCCACGCGGATGTACTTCAGCCAGTTCCCAGCTCCGCTCTGGCTGGCATCAACACAGAACTTCTCATTCCCCAGGTCAKCAGCAATCTGTAGAAGAAGAGGAGGTGGAAAATGGGTCATCTGATGCCAAGTCACAGATAAGGAAAGAAGAAAGAAAAGAGAATTATTCACAGTGCAGAATCCAAAGGGGAACGAGAAAGCTTGATGGTGTGTATAACAAATAAAGACATTCAACTAGATTAAAATCAGCCTGAGGGCTGATCAGAGCCCCTGGTCTTTCCATGGATGCAGACCTGGGCTCTCCATGGGTGACAGGTTTGGAGTCACCGTGTTATGGAGATGAAAGCGTGGTCCCAAAGCCCACAGCAGCTTCAAGGGTCGGAACAGAGCAACCTCTCCCAGCTCCATCTGTCTTAACCCGCTCCGTCTCCATATTTTATCATTTGATGTATAAACATTTTTTATTATAAACTTCAAACATCTTTTTTTCAGTGACCACTTCAAAACAGGTCACTTTCCATTTTGCCATGAGATTCTATTTAAAATAATGCCACAAGCAGTGACGCTCCCATCCACGTCTCTACATCACCGCAGCAATTCCGCGGTCCTGGGGCCCTGCCTGGTAAAATGTGGTAAGTGACGCTCCTTCCCAACAAAAATCCCTCACAAAAATGGAAAATCCAGGTGTGAGAAAAGGGTTAACCCTGGGGCTGGGGTCTAGCCCTGCCCTCTGCTCGCGGTTTCCATGGCCAGCGCGTGAAGCCGTCGCGGTCGCGCTCCGTGCCCAGGCGAAGCGGGCGACACCGTGGCCGGGAAGTCACCAGTTACCGTCACCCTGACGTCCACACGAGGTACGGGCCCCGGGACGGCGGCTCTTGGGCCGTCCCCCCTCTTTGGGGCAGCCTTCAGCCTCCCCAAACACTCCATTTAGGCTGTAGATTAGAGCAGCAATTAGGGAAATTAAGACGGTCTTGGAAAACGAGAAGGCAAACTGCAGGACTGCAAAATGAGTCTATCCCACACGGCAGTCTCTCTTCCATATTCTAAACTGCTCTGGTTGAAGGCACCTCAGCTCATCCTGGAAAAGGCAGAGTTCAGCTCAATGCTCCAGCTGCTTTGCAAGGCCCCTGCACGAAGCTCGGCAGCTCTACCTCACCCTCAGGTCCTGCCTTAGCTAGAAATCACCTGAAACTCAGTGGTTTTATCTGAGTGGAGCTTTAAAACCCAAACTGGGGGTGTGAAATCTCACAAATCATAATGAGAAAAAAAAGGTTTYGTGAAACCCTGGGAACTTAAGCCCCTGTTTTTCACACACACTTACTCTGCTCCATAAATAAACCAAAATACGATGAACCAGAGCCAGCACTGCCATTGAACTGCATTTTGCATATTACTATTCCAGCCTGTGCAGTATCCCTTTCTTGTTTTCAACAAGGAACCTCTGAACGCAGAAGAGCTGGAAAACAAAAGAGCTGCTACAGAAGTAGAGGGGATGGGCAGATCACTGCAAGGAGGACKGCTGCTGAAAGGCAGGCGGGGAAGGAGCAGTAACAGCGAAGGCTCCTTCTTCACGACCCCTCACGCAGGATCAAGTCCTGGGCTCGTGTCTGCCCTGGAAGACGCCCCTTCCTCTGCATTCCAGCTACACCAGGCACAGAGGGGCCTGATCCCAGGCTTTACTGTCAGGTAAATGACACGCACGTGGGAAACTGCTCCTGARCGCCACGCCGCCACACACCGAACTTCCTAATTTCAAAGATCGCTCTTTGTCTGATTAACAGTGGTTGTTTTTAGTGCATGTCCACAGTCAGCAGCAGGGAGGGCAGTGGTAGATACGGGTTTAACTACTTAGTCATTGCATTCAGTATTCACTAGTTACGTGGTATAAAACTAAAACCATAAAGAATGGGTCAGTCTCATAAAAGTGGCCTCTGAGTGACAACTGCTGCATGAAAATGCCAGCATTTGCAAACACGTTTYATTGGACCTTCCCCTAGAGCTGAAGTGAGAAATCAAGATGGTATCTCCAAGGACAGCAAAGCGCGTGTTTTCACCCTACGTGTTCGCCTGCTGTGAGGCTTTTCCAGCTGCCTGAGCCAGGCTCAGGGTGCTGGACGCGGTGCCTCGAGGCAGAGCAGCGCAGCAGGGGCTGCGGCCCCCGCGGCAGAGCGGAGCCCTCGAGGCAAAGCAGCGCTGCGGTTCCCACCTCTGACGAGACCAGCGCTGCCCACCCACGCGCCTTGCTGGTGCTCTGCAGGAAAGTCACATTGCGACTTGAAAAATACCGTAAACTCCAACACTGAGCACAAAGCAAAAGCATGAGGTGTATTTTCCCCTGTCAAGCATATGCACACACATAACAACCCCTAAGGCCCTCTTCCTCCCCCTTAAAAAATCACAAAAAAAAACCCCAAAAAATCATTTGCTGCATCTCCTGGYTGTTTAGATGAGAGGAAAATCAGARGTTTCCTTACAGCACCTGTGTGCAGCACTGTCAATAACAACCCAGATTTTGTGCCGTAAGTCTAGTTTTCGTAACGCACAGCAGCATTCGTTCTGTTTATGTTTTTTGGAAGAAGCCTGGCGAGCAACAAGAGGCCAGCGGTTTGACGAGGAACTCCAAGGGTAGAAGGAAAAGGGAGACATGGGAAGGGACTTCAGAGGTCGCAGGTGGGAGCCTGTGGAGAAGCTGCCCTGGCCGGAGCTTTTTTGCTGCCTTTTCCCAGTCCAGACCCCGTTCTCCTTGTCTGGTTAAAGCAAATGCACCTTCGTGTCCAATCGGAGTGAAAGGCTTTAAACTGCCCGCTGCAGAGACACGCGTTTTGGACCCAGACCCAGAGCGCTGGCGCGGCTGCGGTTCACACTCATCCCTATCCAGCCAACAGGAAATTGTTGTCATGTTCCAGGACTCACTTTGCAGCTTCATCTGCTCTCTGCTCAACAGCCTGCAGGATCCGAGCCCAACAAGCTCATTGATCTTGCAGAGACTCCGCTGCAGAATTTATTAACATCAAAAATGCTGAGCTATGAAGCAAAAGTTATGGAAAAATGCGAACATTTAGAATTTTTTTTGCACATCATTTGAGGTTTCCTGCCTCTCTAATTTGTGGGCTCTCTGCTGGGCCGTTCCTTTCCCGTTGCGATGGGCAGAGGCCAGCATTCGGCCTCGGCAGAGGTGTGCCGCAGCGCTCCGGTGCCCGGGGATCTGTCGTCAGCTCCCTTAATGGATTCCCAGCGCGCAGGGGCGAACGCAGCAACCGCGAGCCTGCCACCAGCGACCCAGCGGCCTCCTGCTGCAGCGTCTCTCCGCAGAAGCTGAAAGTGTAATAAACCTTCTCATCCCATAGTCGCAGGGTCTGCCTTTGACAGTTTGGCTGATGCACGAATTTTAGTTGGCAGGAGTTAGAGGGAGATTTTTTTTTTCTTTTTCTTTTTACTTTAATGACTCACAAGCTGATTTAGAGCAATAAACTGTTGCCATGAAGTTTTGTTGTGCTTCTTTTAAATAAAGGGCAAGGGGGGGGCTGCTACAATTTATGGCTTTCAGAAGTAACTGAAACAGAAAGTCCATTCTTGCCACAAAACGCAGAATAAAAAAAAAAAAAAGCACCCGAGAAACACCTCTGCCAATGTGTAGACACGAAGCCTGGATGAACTCATAAATCCAGCACTCTGCTGCAATTAAGGCGGCTTCCTGGTGGTTTGASAAAGAGTTAATGAGAAACGTGTCGGGCCGAGGAGGCGGCGCGAGGAAGGGCTCCCGGCGCAAGGGCTGCAGCCCGCTCCGTGCCGCCTGGGACTCGGTGTGCCGGCCGGGACGAGCTGCCACGCGGGCCCCGGCGCACGGGCGAGCGGAGCGCGGAGCGGAGGGGAGGCGAGCGGAGCAGCCCGGCTTCCCGCACCCCCCTGCCTGCCCCTTCACGTAGGAGCGTGCGCCAGACCTCCCGCCTGAGCCCGGGCAACCGGGGAGGCCCCCGCGCCCCAAACCCCGCGCGAGCCCTCGGCACGTGCGCGCAAACAACCCTGGCGAGGCCCCGGAGCCCTCGCGGCGGCCAAGCCCGAAGTGTTATTAAGTGGCTGCAGGATCTGACAGCCTAATCCACCTGTGATGGACTCGCTGCCTCTGCAGAGCGGGCACCGGTCCTGCCCAGGCCACATCCATCCATCCATCCATCCATCCATCCATCCATCCATCCATCCATCCATCCATCCCAGGCCACATCCATCCCCTTTCCAAGCACCCTTTGGATCTGCGGCGCGCGGGAAGCTGCGTGTTCAGGCACCCAGGAAGCTCCACGCAAGGAAATTGGGATGCTTCTTCCCGGGACACGGGCCCGTGTCGCGCCGCAGCCTCTCCGCAAGGTCTGCCCGCTGCCAGCTGCTCTTTTAGACCCACGCAGGGCACGCGCTGCCCCGCACCTCCCTGCTGCTCGAGGAGCGCTGGGCAAACCTGCCCGCTGCAAAAAAMCGGAGGTGAAAACATCCAAACAGAGCGGCGCTTGGAGCATGACGCAAGCACTCCCCTCAACAAAAGCGCAGTTTTCACTGGTAACGTAATTCATACCACACTGATTTGAATTAAATAGTAAACCATAACAAATTAAGCTGGCCTCGAAGCGCAGGGCGACGCAGACACAAGTCCAAAAGGGATTTCCAGTTCTCTGCAGCATGCACGTGGATGTCGAAGCTTCGCACTGCTGCCTGTGCCTGGTTCTCCATGGGGCTTCCCTCCCTCGCACRGAGGAATCCCGGGGTCCATGACGTGCTCCCAAGAGCCGCAGGGGGAATGCGGCCAAGGAAAACCCTTCCCACCCTTTCTCTCCCTCCAAAGGTGCCAGTGCAGCAAAGAAAAGGCAGCGCAACAAGGATGACTTCTGCTCTGCTCTTTCGCTGCATTTGGGGTATTTTCAAGATTAGTATTTATGGAGGTTACTGCTGCTTGTTTTAAATTATTTCTTATTACTCCATCTTTACTTTAATGATGTTTGGGGAAGGGAGCTGTGGAGCGCCACGAGCATGCCGACCTCTTCAGCCTGATTTATGGAAGCACCGAGTGCCAAAACCATTTGCCACATTTCACACACCGG